CTCCCCTTGGACTGCACTACTGACTCTCGAGTCCGTTGATTAGGGGCGGGCGGGGAGAGAAAGAGAGGAACAATAAGCGGAGGGGGGGGGGGGGGGGAGAGAGTCCTTCATTAGCGCGGTACGAAAAACAGGAAATTAGCGACGCGTCGCGTCGCGTCGCATCCGAACGAGCGTGGACGGCGGCGACGATGACGTGTGCCAACCGGACGAACGACGATGACCCCACCATACCGGTCCTCTCTTTCGCTCTCACGCGCGCTCTCGTCGCCGACGTCGTTGGTCGCACCGCTCCGCCGCGCTCCACCGCGATTCTACCCCTCCATATCGCCACGCTCGTACGAATGCTTAATCACAAATCGATAGACGTGACGCATCGCCGCGGCCTCTGAGATACGTCGACTTGCCGCCGGCTTCGGCTTATCTGCATTTCCGACCGTTTCGTTCGCGCGTGACTGGCGGCGGATTAGGGATCACGAAGCTGGCGATCGTAATCGCTCCCCGAGGCTCGCCTCCTCGCTCGACTCCGACCTTCGCCGCGCTGCGTTATACGTCGTTTCTTCAGCAGACAGTTAATTAATGTTAAACCTAACGTACGTTAAAACACTTGATTTAATTTGCTAATACACGAGGACCTCCCCGATTACTTCAAACGCGGGAGAGTCTCGCTGAGTGACGTGTCCGCGAATCTTCGCCGCCGATAAGAATGACGTATGTAAAATCATTGAGGGACACTATTGGGAGACAGCCTGGTGGCATTTATTACGCTCGGTCGCGCTGTGAAACTGTGAATTCTCTGACAACGCGGGGCGATGCTATGACGACGCTGTAATGGGAAGGAGAGGCTGCACACGAGCGAAGTGTAGGGCAATTACGTTCAGGGATAATGGTTCGTATTCGCGCGCTTTACCGTCAACGTTCAGTGCGCGATTCTCGCCTGCTTCTCTCGCCTCGATGCAATTACGATTCGAACCTAACCTGCGGAGAGAATTATCTTTCCGAGTTTTGAGCGCAGCTTATTCGAGGAGAACTTCCTCCTCCAGCGCCGTGTGTTTGGTTTATAAGTATCGCGCGCGTAAGAACTATCTCGGAACTACCGATCCTCGCAATGTCGTCCGATACGATTCTTATCTCAAAGTAGTATATCTTGAACGCGCATAACAACGTTTTTTGTTCCTTTACTTTAAAGATTAAGCTGCGATACTTATTATCGATATACGCGCGAGTTGTAGCAGAATCTCGACGGTTCAAATGTTACAATTATCTCTTACATTATATTGCACGTCAATAATCTGCAAGATATCTAATGAGAAATAATGGTAAGAGAACTTTGTTCTCTCTTATTCTAAAATAATAGCTAATATTATAAATTATAATTTCAAATTATTATATATATGTAACAATTAAAAATTGTTCAACTTTAGCATAATGAATAAAGTATCTTACAATTTCATTTCCCAAACTCGATTTGTATGCGTTACGATAAAGTTAATGTCGGATGCGTTACATTTGTTGCGTTTAATATCTCGTATGCCGCAGAATTAAAATCCTTCTCTCGGACGAATCAAATATATATGAAATTTACAATCCGGCAGCCACACATTTTGTATTCCTATGTAAATATATCCTTTAAATATACGTGAGAATATGGATTATTATCGAGTATTTAATACAATATATCGCGTTTCTTGCATTTAGTATCACTGATTAGAGAAATGTCGTGGTACATGATATTTCCAATTAATTTTGTATGAGATATAAGCAAGCGATATAGTTCGTGACAAATTACAGCCGCCTTATGATAATTAATCGTCTAGAGAAATATAGTTTTTTTACGTTTATAATGACTCGGTTTAAAGTCTCATATAAAAAGTAAAAAGTAATGTCATTACATAAAGTTCTAACACGATTTATACATAAAGGTAATAATATCTAAAATGTAAATATATATATATACATACACAAATATAGTAACAATAAATATACATATATAGTAATAATATCTAAGATACTAAGAGCTATAATTGAATGAACGCGTTAAAGCGATAGATGCATTTATTTACAATAAATGTAAATGTAACGAGTTCCAGTGTAAAAATCTATGATTATACATATATATATATGCAAAAATTATTGCAACTTAAATCTATAAATAAGCTCACGCTTTGATGTGTACGTATTTTTGGAAATATCGGAAAGACGTTCAAAGACGTCTTGTATTTATCTAATCAATACAAGACAGATCGAGTGACAGCCGTATCGTCAAATAATAAGATCAACGTCAAAGAACAAATCGTATCTCTTGAACTCGATCGATCGGTACTCGAACACTTTTCGCATCTCGCATTTTTTTCTTTCCACGAAAATATATCCGTGCACGCATTTTATGATAATCTAAACAAAATGTTGATTTATTCGAGGCGTCAGGTCGTTTGTGTCGTCTCGCATCGATAAGGGCGTAATTTCCATCCGACGATATTAGGTCATGCCACGCGTGAATACATGTTAATGTAGCTTCATGTTAGGGAATGGAAAGGCAACATTGGGACACGGAAACGTAGCGGCCGTCGCCGCTCCCTCCAACGAGCCGTATTTTATCGACTGTCTTTACGAGCCCCGGCACGGCAACGTTACATCAAACGTTGTATCCGAAAATGGCGGCCACGGTTAATGCGTTAGCCGGCCGCCGGTTGTTCGAATAATGGACTGCTGTTAAAGTATCTAGATTAAAGAGGAAGGCACGATATGACTTTCCGCTCGTCGTTAAAGTCATTAAGAAAAGAAAATTGTTCCGCGCGTTATTGTAGGGTCGCCGTGGACAATCGAGGTCAGAAACCGAGCGATATACACGAATACTATATGTATATTGTATAGCATCCAGGAAATTGATGGTGAATAAAATTATGGCGGGGCTTAGTGAATTAAAAAAAAAAAAGCGCGAAAGGTTATAGCTATATTGATTAATGCCTTTTCAAATATCATTCGGCTAACTTTCTTTCTCCCGTGGTTATCGGATCTTTTGGCACATTGACATTTTTTGGAACTGAGCCAACTCAATTCTAGGCCCGCAATTTACTTACGATCACGCCGCTGAACGCTGCATCGGAAAAGAAGATAAATAGGGGATAGAAGGAGAGAAAAAAGGGAAGTTGAATTTTTAACCTCTCGTAAAAACATCAAACGTTCGTTTCTCGATTTCCGACGTTTCGCGCAGAACGTTTAAAGACCGTGGAAAATCGATGACGAATAAAACTTTGATCCCGCGTGCCTCATTCACTGTATTCACGTGCATTGTAAACACATGCGTATGCACGTAAACCATTATGCGGCTGCAACGGCGATGGCTGCTGCTCACTGGGTGAAGCAGTCGTATAAGCCGGAGTACGGAGTTCAACGACCGGTATAAATTAAAGCGGCGCTCGGATTTCAATGCCACGGCCTTGCTCAAGGCCGTCGCACTCGTAGAAAATCAACGGTACATTTGCGTCGGGCATTCGTAACAAATAAATTGTGCGAATACGACGTGAGCGATTGGGTACGACCATCTGCAGAACTAATACCTTAAGACTGCATGAGATTAACTTCTTTCTTACGACCGATTTGCACATTAAACTCGAATTTCTAAAATAAAATTCGCGCAGTCAAAGTATAATTCTTCCGGTCTCATTTCTTAAGAAATAAATTGTGGTTTTTTTGTTTTAAAGTAAAATATTTTGCGATATAAGAAAAAGTATAATTGACATTTTTTTTAAATTAAAATATGTATTTTAAAAAATTGCTTAATTTTCGCTGATTTAAGTAGGACTGATATTATCATGACAAATTCTTGGCATCCGTGAATTTATTTTCATCACGTTTGCATTGGACACATGCACTTCGTTTCTAAAATTATAACACGCATGCATGCATGATTTACTCGATTATATCATTTATCCGCTCTTGCATTATATAGAGGGTGCTTCATTGTTATTATTATAACGCCTGTAACGGTTAACGCGATTTGGCAGAGATTTTAATTGTGGGATTGTTAAGAAGACCCGCACACCGGGGGTTTTGTTCGGACTTTGTAAGTGTAATTTATATACTCGTATTTTTGCCTCGTTCCAAATGTACAAAATATTTCGCATAGGAGGAAATAACGTTTCGCAAAATTATCACGATATGTTTAACAATCTCGAGCTCTTCGCAAACATTTACCGTACATTTGGAACGAAATCATTTCCCAATGAACAATATATTTATCCATTGCGCGCGAAATTTACGTGCATGTACACCTCAGTCTATCGCATGATTTTTCCGCGAACGCGTAAACGTATATTCCAATGCACGATAGAAACTCTATAAATTAGCGTTATTACTCTAACATGCGACATTATCACGTAAACAAATGACGTACACATTGCTACTGGATAATTAATTAATTTACTCAAATCGCCACAGGCAGGTTTTGATACGCAATACGCTAGGCATTGACACGAGTCTATGCAAAACAGTTGTCGCGCGTTCGTTCAATACCACAAAATCGAGATGATCACCATTAAATGGAGTAAGGTAGAATTAGATTCTATAAAGTACAAATAATCATAGGAAATAGAACTGTTTGAATTATTTGCGACAACTGAGAAAAGTAATCTATACTTATATAAAAATAAATAAATGTTCAAAGTATAAATATTTATCGGTAAAAATAAATTATATAAATTGCCGTCAACTTTAGTAGATAAGATAGAAAATTAATGATTTGGAATTGACGTTTCCGGTTTATTAGGTATATATGTATATCGATAAGTGTTCTCTATCATGAGATAGACAACATCGTCGTTCTTATTAACTTTACTTTTGCTCCGATGTGATTTCTCAAAACAGCGTCATTCGCTCGAACGTTACTTATCGAGCTTACGTAAGAGATATGTGCCAAAATCGCGGATTTGCACCCATTCATAACGGTCTCCCCGATTCTAATTTTAGCAGCATACTGGTCTCGAGGCGACAGCGCAGCGTCGTCACTCTTCGGCGGGATGCCGGGTGGTTATGGCTTGGGGGCTCCCCATTTACCCTCGGCTTACGCTATTTTGGGCCGAGGGGGCTCAGCGCCTGGCTTCGGGGGTCACACACCAGCCTCGGCGCCACCCCCGTCCCCGTATCCTCACAGCAGCCTCGGTACGCTCAGCGTGGCCGCCAGTCAAGCTGCGAGTCTGGGTAAGTAAATTTTCCACCAACCTCTTCACACCCGTCTCTTGTACTCGTCCCTCCTTTCTGAAGTCCTGTCGATTGGGATAAGATGGGATAATTTGTAGTAGACTTGTAAAAGTTTTGAATATCGTATATAAAAGATTGAAGTCATGCAGTTAAACATTCAATTAAACATACGAAACGTACACTATTGGTGCAATAAGAGTATGTATGAGTTTGTATATTTGATTGAATACATTATGCGACCTCAATTTTTTATACACAATATCAAAATTTCTATTCAATCTCTATTCAAATTACTTCTTCAAATATTTCCTCACGCATTCCGGATAAGATATCTTGACTATTTTAGATGTTTCAAATTTACTTATTTATAAGATGTCTCTTTTAGAAAGATATTTTGTTATGTATCTCTCTCATTGGCTCATCCAAACCTGGACAATCGAGCAGTGTTTCGAGATCGAATTTTATAGACTAGGCGGATTTACCGGACGTATCATTCATATGCTGCAGGTATCAATCCAGCAGCCACTGCATGGTGGACAATGGCCTCTCATCTGGCGGCGCAAGACTACCTCGCGAGGTTACAAGGAGCGGCAGGACTCCCAGGATTTCCGCCCGGTACCGAGAGCCTCCTACCACCCTATCCCGCCTCTCTACTTAATCCCCCGTCCCTCTCGTCCCACAAGTCCAGTAAGTGTAAGTAACAACGATCGACAATGTTGCATAATACAATGCTCGAGAAACGTTCTCCGTACGCTTAATCCTCAATCGCCGAGTCTTTTCGAGATAACAACGTCGCTCGGAATATTTTTAATCGTTTTCTCTTTTTAATGCTAACTGTTAAAGAATTGTCTGATGACGTGAAACACGACTTTTACCTCTTGCTTTTTGTTTACAGTATTTTTACATTTTTTTAAATTTGTCTAACAATAAGTTACATCTACGTAGCTTTTTCTCGTCACTTTTTCCATCACTATAATTATTTTCTATTTTGCGGGCAAGATGTTTGAGTTTTGTGTATTTTTATGTACATTTTTTATTTATATTTGAAGTTATAATATAATTTTAAAGTTTCTCTCAAGTTCGAGTTAAATAAGGTTTACTTATTAATGAGATAGAAACTTGAGACTCTTGAAAGTATAAACTTACTTCTATAACAATTGACAATCTTGCCGGTCTTGGATTGAGATGAACGCGAACGTTTTTTCGAAGATAATCTACATTTAGAAGAATCATAGATTTACAGTTATGTTTACGTTTTCACGAGCAGCTAAGTCAAGCAAGAGTCACAAGACGCCGCCAGCTAGCAGTAGTAGCTCAACAACGCCAAGTATGACGAGCAGCAGCCTGCCGGTGTCCACTCAACCACCGGTGACGTCCTCTCATCACAGTACCCCGGTCAGCAGCACGCCAAATTCGCAATCCAATGTCGTCAGGTGAGAGATTATTCGTTTCGCATGTTAAATATACAAAGCCGCAGATTGATTTTATTTAACTCGCTAAAAAATTGTATTTTCACGCTAACGTTTTTCCTATCGCGACAGTTCTGCGAAGGAAGGAAGGTGAATATATTAATTCAATTACGCGATAGATCTTCCACTCTATAATACGATTTATAATTGAATTAGAATATATATATATATATATAATATAAAGTAGGTTCATTTTTTAGAACTTATCATTAAATTCGTGAACCTCACTATTCGATTATCTTTATTATAGTTGAATTTATTTCAGTTGCCGTAAAGAATAAATAATTTTACAGTGATATTTTATCTAGTGATCCTAGCAGTATATTGGGAGGTGTGCGTCTACCTCCCGACACGGAGATTATCAAGTATACGTCGAGTATAGTCGGTCCAAAGGTTCCTGGAACGACGAACCGCGGCAGGAAGAAGACAATATCGTTGGACACTCCTAGCGTCAGCGTACATCCGCCGCCCGTCCCTACCCTTAGCGCCCATCAGACGAACACGACAACCTCTTCGTCGCTAATGATAGAACCGAGGAAGTACAATCGCACGGGGGTACGTTCAATCGTTGCACATATCGGTCACAAAACACTTAAGCATAAAATTGCAAGCAATCAACACCTATTATTTGTTATTCTTTATTACAAGGAACACTTAAAAATTTATACTCACTCATTTGCGAGATAAATTTTGCCCTTTTAATTTCATATTCGCTACACGAATCTGTATTTGTGCGCGATATGTCATGTAATCGTGTACGCCTCGTCTTTCCTCAGACCGACTCGAACGAATACAGAGATTCGGTGGATCGAGTAGAAGTAATCAAACTGCCGGCCCATTCAACGAACGGCTCCGTTCTGTCGGCGCCGCCGACGTATACTAGCAGCGGTAGCAGCAGTAGTAGCAACGCGAACAACAACATCAACGATTCGGACGCGCCCTTAAATCTCTCCCTAAAGCCCGCCACGACGAGCAGTAGCTCGCCGATTTCTGGTAGTCAACCGCTCAGTCAGCTCAGTAATTTAAGCCAATCGTTACTTGCCTCCGATCGAACGTGTAAGTATAATTGCACGTAGCATTTTCAATTATTATCGTTTTATTATAAAATTATCGTAGCGTAAAGTTGTTGTATGTTTTAATAATAGAGAAATTGCTCGTGAAGTGAAAAAAAGTTAAAAGCGTTTTTGCAAACCCACAATATAGTTTGTCATTTAAACTCCACATCTTTTAAAATCAGTCTTTTAGAAAAACTAAAGTAGAATTATGCAAATTAGTTGTCAAATCAGGAAGTACTCCGATAGTTCTATATTCTTGTTTATACCGTTTCCAAAATCCTTCAAGATTTTACACAAGCGAGTACATGCTTGAAAACTTAATAGAAAAGTTTGCCTTTATTTCGAAAAAGTAAATTTTCATGAAAAAAATACATGATTCAAGTAACCAAAACTTTATAAATTATTGTAGCGAGACGAAAACCCGGACCAAAGCCGAGAAGAGTTCCGCAGAATTCGGTGCCGGTGCCGGCGTCGCCTAGTCCTTCCTTGGCGCAGCTTTTCGCTGCCGCGGACTCGCCACAGCGGCCGAGTAGCGGTAGTGAAGAAAGCGAGAGTGCAAGCTCTGCTACCCATCACAAGGACGGCAGGCCGCGAAATCTCGGTCGTGGTGTATCGAAGCCTAAGAAGAACACGGTCGCGTCGTTATTGGCCCAAAGCAGAGCTCTAGGGATTAAACCCACCCCGACTTTGGATCCAAGTGTGCCATTGTCTCATCAAGTATCGTTGCTGAGGTCGAATATACTGGCGGCTCAATTGCACGCTTCCGTCGCTACTGGCCAGAGTGACGAAAAGAGCCAGGTAAAATTCAGCTACTAGCGTCAACGTGAAATACCTTTATCATATTAATTTTAACGTGTTAAACGTACGAGTGTTAATTTAAACGTTATAATTACATTTTAATAGAACATTATTTTGTTTATTCTGACTTCTGTACTTATGTAATTTCCATATATCTTTACGATTATCTTTTGTTAAAGTACTATCACTTGCTAACGAAGATACAGAAGAAGAAGCGACCTCGACCAATTCGTGCTTCGTGGGCGAGGAGCCATGTTCGTTTTTCTTTTTTTTTTTTACTTATGATTTCGCACTAAAACCATTCTCCCTATATAGAAATCTTTGCAGGAGAAAATGAAAAACAAGTTGCTGGAGGCTTCGGGAGAAGAGAGTAACATGGACGTGACCAGCGAGAGCGGCAGTAACACCGATGTTCTCACGGATACGGATGACGACAATGCGGAAGGCACACCTAGCGCGAAGAGGAGAAAACTCAAACCCAGCGAAAGAGACCTTCAAATGCCGTTAGAGCGCGGTTGGAAGCGTGAAACGGTTATCAAGGGACTAGGAAAGACGGGAGTGATAAAAGGCGACGTGTCGTATTACAGCCCCTGCGGGAAAACTTTTAGGAGCAGTCCCGATCTAGTGAAGGTTGGTTGCAACATATTACGACCGTTGATGGTTAGTGTACGTTATCAAAAGTGATTCGCATGAAGTCGCTGGGAAGTTTAGAGTATTTTGTTAAACTTTCTATCGTCGCTTTCGTGCACTATTATCATATCTACACCGCGGTGTATAACGTAATAAGGAAATATAACATAATTACATCGTAATACAGATGACATTTGTTAGTTAAATTATTAGATGTTTTTTTAAGAAAAAAAAATCAATTTTCTGTTTCAGTTTCTGGAGCATCAAAATCCAGCTGAATTAACTACCGCCAATTTTTCGTTTTCCTCCCGTCCGTTGGTCGGGGAATTCCTGCAGCCAACGATGGGTCTAGCAGAGGCTGAATTTGTCAGACTCGGTGCTCAAGAAGTAGCGCGAAGATTGGAAGAGATCAGAGCGGTCGCTGGTTTCAGAGACGTACGGACGAACAATCAATATGATAGAGAAAAGCTAGCTTATGCGAAGAAACTTGCGAAGGAAGAAGCGCAACGTCATAAAGAACAAGCTAGGTAAGACATTTCATATTATCTTAAAATATATTAATTACTATGTAAACCATGTATTTCTAAAAAATATTAAATAATGTGTTGTGCTCGAGTACATTAAGAGATATGGAAGGAGTTAATGCGCGTTGTTATCTGATGTTGAGATTACTTCATAAAATTAATAAAAAGTTAATGATTGTCAATAATATAATCGAATAAATTATGAAATTTATTGAAGTGTTAATCTCATAGCTATGTGAGAAGTTAGGTATTTATTCATTCACTGGAATTTAATACTTAATCCGAAGTTTCGCGATTGCAACATGTTGATGTTTAATTAACGCGTATTTATTTTTCTTGCTGTACGATTATTGCTTGCGCGTGATCGTAAATGTTATCGAGCGAGAATCTAAAAGTCAGTATTGCGGATCGCTAAGTTAACTTAAAAAAAATTCGAATTCTTTTAAACATTCGTAAAATTTATGAATAAGTAATTACTGATAACCGTTGATTGATGATTTATTCGAGTCTTTTTACTACTCGGGAATTATGTGTACTGAATGATACCCTCATTGTAGGCTTATTAAGGAGCAAGAGAAGTCAGAACGGCAGGAAGCCGTCAGACGAGAACGGGAGATCAGGAATCAACAGCTGCTCGAGGTAAGTCGATGTCTACCATCGAGTTTCCTTCACGTTTGTCTCGATCTCGTTGTTTCATTCACACAAAAAACTGTTCTCTTATTCTATTTGGGATACCTACGTTTTTTTGTATTTTGTCCACCTGTCGTGCGTGTCGCATGCTCTCTGTGTGTGCCGTATTTATATATATATACATATATATATTATCTCCGTATATATATATATACATCTGTCTATATATACATATTATATACAACTTTTTTTAATGAATATTCTTGTATAGAAAAACTCTTTTCTTATACTATATATACGTCCAACGAACCTTTTACAACCTCTAATGTCCCAGAATACACGAGACACCCATAGCCAACCAACAACCGCTAGCGATAGTGACAGGAGAATCCAGCATGTCCTCCCACCTTACCTTTTACCCTTTTTAATTTCGTTAAATTATTGTGTTTAATCGATGAATAACTCGTTGAGAATTGTACATAGTCGCAATTTTGTTTTCATCAAACAAACGTAACTATTGTAGAAAGGGGAAAAAATAAAATGGAAATAAATAACTCTGGTATTCAAAAACATTTCAAACTATCTAATAAGAGGAATAAAAAGTTGTATTCCTTTTACGATTTACTAGTTCTTTTTTACGTACGTTAAAATACACGCGCTAAATTTTTAATTTTTTTTTTCTAGATGCGAACGCGAGAATCGTAAATAAATTAATATGGATGCCAGTATTGGTTTAAATTCCAAAATTCTTTCCACAATATTCGATATTTCATATACTGAGATCTGCTTTGAAATAATTCCGTGTGTTTTCAATCGATACTGTTGATGCTTTTATGTATGTACGTTGTAAACAAAAGTATCGTTGATACATTTTATTTTTCATTATTTTTGTTGGTGTTGTCGGATAATGAGACAAATAATTGCATTTCATTAAGAATTATGTTTGACAGCGGAAAATTTACGTGATATAAAAGCACTCGTTATTGACGTAATGGACGTTTCCCCAATTTTAGGAAAAATGTTCAATCATTTATATCTTTTTAATCTCATATAAGATACTTATATATTACTTATATATTACTATTTCTATTATATATAGTATCTACTATTTCTGAAAATATATTTTATATATGCAAAATTTAAAAGAACGAGATATAAAATATGCAAGTAGTATTAAATAAAGAATCATATTATTTAAAAGTAATTTTTTCGCTACCGATTTCTATCGCATTTCAAAAGAAAGAGAAGATAAATTTTTTAATTTTTTAATCGCTTAATTTATGCTAGTTTAATTTCAATTCTTGCAAAGAACGAGGATACATTTTGATATTGGAATACGTGTTTAATACGATCGGCGTTATTCTGGAAATTTCTCTATACGAGAGAAAACCTCGTCGAAATAGAGGCGCGCGATTGTAGAAATTTCAAAAGTCCATCCATTGTGATAGTCCTCCAAACTATGCCCCATCGGAATCCTCGCGCAAGCCAGATTATCACCCTGTCCCCCTCAATCACTGTCACTCGTTCGTTCATGTTTCCTCGCATTCACACACGCATTCCACATCCACACGCACATCACTAGCCCGAAACATACACACACAGCCCGTGCAATTTAAAAGAATAGAAGGAGACGTCAAACGACACAATAGTGTAGTAACTGTAGCTACACGTGAATTCACATGTAGTGGAAAACGCGAAATAGGGATGCCCAGAGCGTATATAACCGATCCTAATCGATTTTTTCCCTGGGACGTAGAGAACGAAAAATGACGGGGATGTATATTATCGATGCACATTACGTTTAGACGAGCTAATTAAGACTGGCGTAATTTAGCAAGGTATCGATGTAATTGAGAGCGTTATTATTTTGTTATGTGTGTATTGTGGTATTACATTGTGTTCAACATTACGAGAAATAGTCGAGGAAATTATTTCATATTATTTAATATCTTCATAAATAGTCAAGAAGTATGTCGCGTGTTTCTTTTTTTATTTTACATAGATCGCTTTTATGTGCTTATAGTACTTAAAATTGGCTTTATCGGAATTACACATATTTTAGTCTTTTTAAGGGTGGTACGCCGAGTTCATAAAATCGCAATTATTAAGGTCATTATTGCAAATAACAATAATGCTACTCTATTGAATTTATTTGCCGATAGTATCGTTTTATTTTTAATTTATATATTCTGACAAAATATTTAATATACATACATTCTAAATCTTTACGTCGTAATCTCAAGAAAAGATATTCTTTAGGATGATACATTTTGTGTAAAAATGATTTCATTGTCATTATAATTTAGCTTCGTATATTACCGTATAATCAATTCGCGCATCGTATATGATCTCCGCGTATCGCCCCGATTCACTCCCCGCTGGTCGACCGCGAACGACCGGTCGCATGTGGTTGCTAAACGACCACCTTCCTCCCAATTAACGCGATCGATTATATATTGGGCATCCCTGTAAACCACCACCAACACAGGGTCGAAAGCGGCTCGCGTTCACGATCAAGCAGAAAATGAAGATCATCCAAGAGATCGAGCGCGGCAAGAGCAAGAGCGACGTGGCTCGCGAGCTGGGTCTGGCGAGCAGTACGGTTGCCACCATTTGGAAGAATCGAGAGAGCATCGCCGAGAGCTGGCGCAACCGGGACATGATGCACCAGGCAGACGTCGAGGACGTACCGTCGAAAAAGCCACCGTCGATGCCGTCCCTCGCGTCGACCACAGCCGCGTACTGCACCCCGATGACGATGACGACGATGACGACAACGACCGCGATCACAACGACGCCGCCGTCTCTGGTCTCTGGCGTGGTCGTGCCGCCTCCACAGGTGCAGGTGGTGCCACCGGTACTACCACCACCGCCTTATCCCACCTTAACCCTGCCGCCGGTGTCGGCGGGCCTTGTGCCATCACCGCAGCCAACGACGCCAATCTCCTCTTCGTCGAACCTGTCGACCACCACGTCAACTGGTACGACGACCACGACCATGCCGCCGGACAATACCCAGCAGGCACAGACCCAGACGCAGAGTCAGGAACTTCTGGAGGTAAGATGTCGTATGACGCATCCCGAACCCTTCTTCTCATCCGAATCACCCTGTCCACGGTCTTGCCCGCCTGGACCCGTTGATTCTCCCCTTTTCGTACCTCATTGATCATCCTTCACGTAATATCTCGAAGCTCGATATCCCGACATATGCGCCACTTGGATCCATCATCGATCACATCATATTCACTAATGAGTGTTGTCATATTGTCTTGTGAGTCGTTATTACTTCCGGATATCCCTGTTTCTCCTCTTGGCTTTAATTTCCTCCGCGATCCGGAAACGGTTTGCGATAGAAGGGCGAAGAGATCCCCGGAGGTAAGAGTTACCGTGAGTATACCCGGCTCGCGGCTCGCGTTTCTTCTACGTGTGTTTGCGTGGGGTGAAATAATATAAGTGCTTCCGGTGTTTCAACAAACGAATATCGTGCGAATTTTGCCATTTCACGTCAGCCTTCGTCGTCTCTTCAACATTCCTTTCAACATTCTCTGCTTTGAAAAATAATGTAAACACAGTAAAATAAACTCATTTCAATGATATAAATAAAAAATGAATTGGTACATCGACTTTTTCTTCTTTTATATTAAAGTGTCACAAGGACAATATGAATGGTTCTGTGATATCATAAATTACGAAATAATTTTCTTATATCATAAATTCGCTTTCTATTTCTTCAAGAAATTTTCAAATTAAAAAGAATGTGTTTTATTAATAAATAATATCTCGGATAATAGTCATCTAAATATCTTGGGGCTACAAACTAAAACAAAGCTTAAAAAAAAAAGGGGGGAAACACGTTTTATGTGCATAAAATTCCATGTTTCTGAAAGTCTAACGAGCACGAGTTCAGTAGGAAATTTTATGATATTTTTGTAGTTTCATAGCATTTCACGATTCTTCAAGCTCTCTTATTATAGCACGCAAAAGTTTTTAACATGACATGTATCGCCAAAGTGAAGAGACGAACCCGCGACTGGCATCATAAATTCACCCCCACGTACTACTTTTTATCGCGTAGCAATAAAAGGGAAAAATACATACGTACACACACATACATGCATATATTATAGATGCTCATCACCGTGCTTTCGTAGGGTTGAATGTGGCCGATCTCTTCGTCCGGCCAAGCGGATTTCGGAATTCTGTTTTTATTATCTATGATCATTCATTATGCTATCTATAAGGATATTTATTTTCGAAAATTTATTTAATTATACTCATCACCTACGGATTATTTTTAAAAATCGTAAATTTGTATTAATTTTATATATATATATATATATAATTTATCTATTGATAAAAATTATGTAAAATTTGAAATTTTTATACTACAATAAAAGTACTTTGTTCATCCTTATTATCACTCTAACGAATTTAACCTAAATTGAAAATTAATTCACTTGAGGATAAGACTTAAAAATTAACACCTGTAATCTCGTCACTATATCCACATTGATATCTCATGAAGAATAAAATAAAAGCTCTAATTAAAGTAACGCTCAAAATAAATTATAATTCATCTTCAATTTGATTCAAAGTACATTTCGAAATCTGTGTTCAAGTTTATCATTTTATCAAATTTTCTCGATAAAGGGCAAATTTTCAGGCAAGAAATCCGAAATCCGCCGAATGATTATAAAGAAGAAGCATCGATGTCGATCTCGAGTTCTCGTTGGTCGGCGTTTTCCGAGATTGGCAGCGGAAAAACACAGTCCATTGAGAATCGCGGGATCCAGATGCTAAATCAACACTGCGATCAAGGCACGTTAAGGCTGACGATTTACGTAGGCACGATAAATATATACGATAATATATGAACCGACTGTCGCAATGCTCTCCTGTGCCTAGCTTCTCCTGTCACTATACAAAATAACAGCTAGCTACATGATTATCCAGCATGCCATACTTCTCGAAGAACCTGTCTCTAGTATTCGATTATTCGCTACACGAGTATATATATATATAAGAGCTTTCCTTTACCTTCTTATTATACTACGAACGAAAACGACACACGAATTACCCGCGTAATGAATATGTGACACCTATACCTTATATATACATATATATATATAAATATATACACATATATATATATTACATATACTTTTATTACTATGTATTATCTACTGTTACATTTTATATTCCTAGGTAAAACGACACGATAGCTTTAATATTTTATCAGCTTAAGCGACGGTACACATGTACCATTGATATAATATGTGCATACATAGGCGAGTATTGCTTGGCTCCTTGCATGCCCGGCTGAGATTTTTTCACTTTTTCCACGTATTCTTCTATTTCTCTTCGATCTCTGTTCATCTTGTATAATGGTGTTGATTTACATATAACAGTTTACGCTCTCTTATTATCTCACACAATTGACTCTTTTTTCTTCTATTTATATAATAGTTAAATATAACTATATATATATATATATATTTCAATCCGTGTTTTTGCTGTCAAATTCGCTCTCAAATATTTCACGAGCGAGTCAGTCTTCGTTATGCTTGGCTATACTGTCTCAACGTATACGCGTCACTTTCTTGGTGGGGTTTTATTATTAAATCGCATGCTTTTACTACTCTTTTTCTCTCTTTCTCTCTTTGTACAAGGATTTTTTACGAGGACTATTGCGCTAATTGAATATGCAATGTTTATCGGTATGTAGAAACTGAGCGTGCGTTATTTCACGGCTGTTACGATGAACCTAGCATATCCGATGATAAAGAATTCACGAGAGCGCAAAAATCGGATCGCCGAATCGACGAAAACGGAAGTAAACTACGGGCATTTAGCAGAGTAGATTCAGATTTTTAGCATGAGTATAACCGGGAAGGACGCAAAGATACAATGTAATCCCGAAAGTCTAGTGTAGTCTATTTTTCATGTATTAAGGGTGCAAAGTGATAAAAGTAGGTTGTTCTTTCTTTAAATTCCAAATGAATTTTATCAGAACTTCAACTTGATGTTCAGTTAAGTATCCGAGGTGTATTATTAAAAAGTTACGGCGCCTTCCCAGGAAATCTGCGCTGAAGAAAGATCGGCTTCAAATAACAAATAATTGGCATTAAAATATAAATGCACCCGTACTAACTTCCAGCTATATTCCCGAACTTTAGAGTAGTGCTTAATCCCTGATCTGCGCTATTTAGACATCGCTTTCCACACGTAGCCTTCGAATCACAATTACACTGTGAATATCACGAAATCAAAACCCGAGGAAAAATCCTCGCGGATAGGAACGCGATATAGCTATTCGTTCGATTGCGAATTCAATAAGGATCCATTTCTATTCGTTCAGAGAAATGTGAATAATCGCTACGGAAATCAGGAAGCGGAGATCGAGATAGTCGTTTTAGAAGTCAATTGCACTAATTTTTTGCTGAATATTTCCATAAGAAAAATATTAATAGTTATCAATAGAAATTGTCAGTCAGGAAGTCTTGAAAATTATGATGCATCTTTATAATAACTTTTCTCACATTTTATATGCAATGTATAACTTTTAAAAGTTGATGAGTGCTTTAAAAAATCATTTTTTTAAATTATTTAAAATAAAGCCCTTAAACTCTTTTCATAGGCTGTACATTTACAATCTTATATGACAATTTTCATACATTCACTTCTGAAATATAACGATAAATGTTAAATGTGCAAGAAAAATTTTAACAATTTACATTTTAACTTGATATAATCAAAATAAAACTGATGTTCATATAGTAACAAAATAGTTTCTCTGCTTCTGCGACCCTCTCGATCATCGCTGTGAGAAACCCAGTAGGGGATACGGTAACTTTAAGCCAATTAATCAATTATCAGTACCGGTAACAAGAAAGTAGTTTTCGTCGCTAAAACAATGCCTTTTTCTCTTGTCGTAAATATACCGAGCGGTCCCGCGAACGAGAACAAAATTGCCTAAGTTTTCTCTTGATAAACATGATTACGGATGCGAGTGACGTGTGTATGGCGTATGCGCAGGCACGGAAAAAACGGCAGGAAGAGGTGGAGAAGATCCGACTGGAAGAACAACAAAGGAAGCAACAGGTAATTCAACAATCGTTACTATGTTAATGCTCGACCCTGCTCTTCTCGAGTCGTCTAAAGTTAGATGTAATGCGCGAACAAACGACCGCCGCAATACTATTTCTACAGTTGTATTAAAGAGTCTTTTAATTTCTCAGGAACGGGAGCTGAAGAGGCAGCAGGCGGTTATGCTGAAGGAGCAGGTGAGTTCTTGTCTTAAAACGAACCGTTCTCTGCCAAATCGTTTCATCACTGTAGATTAGCGTGAGTGTGCGTGAGTGTGTCTCTCGTAGACGTAGAGGTGCTCTGTTTTACTTTTATTGCCTTCATTCGTCATTTTCTGTTTATTTTTACGATGAGACCAAACTCCGAGCAAATTAATCGTACGTTATGTATCGAACTAATCGGAAGGCAGGAAACTTTATTTATACGTAAGAAGCGTACGTAAAATAATTATTTTGAATAAACACATAAAGCGGAATATTTTTTTACGTATTAGAATTTATCAATTATCACATCTCGGAAATAGTATTTGTTATATAATAGTGAAGACTTCGTTCGTGTAAGTTGCATGTAATTTTTTAGTAGGAATGTTTGAATAGAATATCTGATTTTAAACTCTTTAATTGTAAAGATTCATATAGAGATTTTAGCTCTCACATTTAAATTGATATAAGTATTGTATTAATAGAAATATCAAATTGAATTAAATATATTTGATTTTTTAATTGAAAATCGTTACATCGTTTCTGAAGAATTGCAATTCTTTTTATCGTGATCTTTTTACATTTTAGAAAATGCATTTCCGATTTTAAAAAGTAGCACGTTGTACATTTATTCATGTCATTGTCCCGAACTTTTTGAAAGTCAGGAGATTGTTATTTAATGTTAAATATAACAGAAATTAATTACATGTGCAATCAAATACATCCGAGAATGCAACGCTATTATTAATTTTTTTACATGTCACTTTAGTTATTAGTAAATTCTAATTTACGTTATAGAATATTCACTTTGAAGAATCTAACATTCTGTGTTTTGGATCCACAGCTCTAACTCATTATTTATATTACCAATATTCATTAAAAAGCAAAATTGCTGATGCGATTAATATCATTTTCGGGGAAGTGTAATTCATTACATATCATACACGGGATGTCCATTCTTCATCACAAAAAAGTGAATTTTGACTATGGACTATCTGATGAAATCAAATAAAATTTTTTTAACGAAACGAATATTGAAATATGATACACAATGGAAATTAAACATTATTCACATAAATAAAAAAAATTTTGAGTAGATAAAACTTCTGTTTATAATAGACTTTAATATAAAAGCTTAAATTTATTATATTAGTAAGATATTTAATTGCTTTAAATATAATCAATATTTTGATACTTGACTGAAAATTGTAAAGTTTCTACATGTAATGATTCTAAATTCTCTTAAAGCACCGATGATTCTACATTGAATGAACACAATGTCGCGAAAATTTACAAGGATGAAGGTGAGACGTCCCGTAACCACTTATCGCACTCGCTTTATCTTGAAATTGAAAAAGTCAACATAACATTGCCGCGCATTGCTCAACAATCTTGTCATGAAAAAGTCGATCACGCCGATTTCGCGACACGATTTAATTCTGTGACAGTCAGATAACCGATAAGTAGAGAACATCTACAGTAAAGAGCGAAGGAAAGATTTGTTAGATTGAGTATAACGGTTTGAGCACTAGTGGACTGTGGATGTGTTTTGTGCCGCAGATGTACATGCAGGAGCTCACCAAGCAGCGCGAGATGCTCTACACCGTCGAGCTGGTATGTCACATACCCAATCTAGCGTCTAACAGAACGGCATTAACGAATTAGCGACTTGCTCTTGCAACTAACTCGCATCGGCTCTGCGTTACATCGCAAACTGCGGCGTGCACAAGAACGGCTATGCGTTAGATTCCCATCAAGTTTTTGACGTGTGTCAATTCAAGATCTGTCTAACGACGTCAACTTGTCGGATCACGTATCGCGGTTTACACATATCGTTCAACTCTTCAGCATACTGTACTTTTGTCCGTAACGCAATAATGTCTATTTCTACTAATGTAAAATAGTTTTTTAATCGGTTTAACGTACTCCTTACCTTCTTTCTAATTCTAAAAATTAGATAAAATAAAGAGTAGGTTAAACTGTGAGATTAAGATTAATTTATACATTGATAGAAATTGATATAAACCCGCTTACTTAATCGATCTGTATTTGCTTCAGCTTTCACGAATCATTGCAGTTCATAAGCTCACATCTTGTAAAAAAAAAAGCACACATTCGCATTTCTGAGTTCAGTGCTAGGGAATCGAAACTTCTTGCTCAGTTTTGTTATATGATGACGTATTTGGTAGAAACTTTTTTCGAAAATTTTTAAGAACTGTAGGATTGATCCGGTTAAGGGAGATGTTTCGAGTAGCTCGGGCAGCCGCTAGTTCTGGTTTACTAGAAACTGCACGGTTTTCTGCGCACTGTAAACGGGCGGTTTCCCGCCATCGACGCGTCGTATTGCTCTCCTATGACTATATCAGTGCATCCGTTTAACAGTACTGTTCGTAATGTGTAATGCGTGAAAGAGTATTTGGGACGGTTGTAGAATTTGGCCCATTCATGCGCGACACAAATATAAAGTGGAAAGTCATAGGAACCATATATAAACTTGAATAACTTGAATTATAACTGAAATCTTCATTTCTTTAAACGTTTAAATGTTAATTAGATGTTTATATTATTCAAAAAAGTACGTTTTTAAAAAATACATAAATTTTCTAAAATATAACATTTTTAGATTTTTTATACTTGGAGTTTAATTTATAAGTTTCATATTGAACATTCTTGGAGTTTAATGAATAGTAGTATTCATAAAAATAACTGTGATTTTCCAATTTACACACATATATTGCGCTTTATTGACAACGCACAACGAAGAGTTTATATACACTCATAATTTTGTCTTGATTCGACATTATCTGCATGAGCGCGCGCGCCAGTTAGTTTTCCTGCGTGTTACTGTAACGATGAACGATGACCGCAGGAAAGAGAGAGAAGGAGGCAACATATGGCCTTGGTACGGGCACTAGAGAATCGTCGGAAGATGGAGGAGAAAGAGAAGAAACGCTTGGAGGCTAGAGCCGAGAGAATAGCGACGAAGGAAAAGCGAGCGGAACAGAGAAGAATCGAGTTGGAATTAATTGAACAAATTCGCAAGCCCGTAGAGGATATGGAACTGACAGGTACGCGAAAGAGTAACTGATACTACGCGATGAGGACATTACCCTTATTACATTACGTATCGAGCTAAAAACTTTTGGATGCCAAGTTTGTGCATTTCTGAGTAACGAGAGTTTTAGATTAATGATCTTTACCTAATTCTGATTAATCTTTTAGATCACAGATCACTGCCAAAAGTAAAAAGAATACCTGGACTTAAGCTTTCCGGGCAAGCGTTCGCAGATATCGTCATGGTCTTCGAATTTTTGCACAATTTCGGGGAAACTTTAGGATTCGGTGAGAACATTTTGTTTTACATCCATCAGAATAAAAACCATTCATCATTTTATTTGGCATTCATTGTTATTATCCTATTTTTTGCAGACATGGAATCATTACCGAGCTTGAAGAGTCTTCAACTCGCCCTTCTCAATGATGAAGAAGCTGAGGAGGAAATGCTGTCGGTTATGACACACCTGTTGGTATGTGCTATCGAAGACCCAGGAATTCCGCAACCGGCTAGACATACTACAGGCTTGGGTCAAAGTTTGCGTCAAGCTGACATCACTCACGCCAACATTAGTGAAGTACTGCGAATTTATTTGTATGCGAACGCAACCGGCGAAGTAAAGGCTCTGACAGGGGTGTGCCTTGAGCGTGAGCGCGACAAGAAATTCGCCGATCATCATCAGAACGGCGGCGATTACGCTTCAACCTGCTCGGGAAAGAATGCACAGTTCTATGAACACTTACATAACAACGAAACGTGGAAGATGTCGGAAAGATTACGAGACAAACCTTTCTTAGCGTTGAATCCGACACATAAGGCACAGATGCTTGCTTTCCTTTGCAACGAGCTACTGCAAAATAAGGCTGTGATCAGACAGATAGAGGGTAGCCTCGAGACGGTAGCTCAGCTGAGGAAAGAAAGATTCGTATTGGACACCAAAATCAGAAAGTAAGTTGATAAGAAGAAATAATTAATTAAAAGATTAAATTAACAAAATAATAATAATATTAAAAGCTATCATGAATCTAATATTTTTTTATTAAAAATAATTTATGATAGAAAAGTTAAATTAAATTAAAGAAAGTCATTACAGATTATACTTTTTCCTGCCAGATCTATATTTTAATAACATTGTCTATTGTTTTTTGTTTGTATAGGCTTAGACAATTACATAGTCGAAAAATCCGAATGGAAGCTGTGGGTGTCATTGTTAATAAGATTGGCGACACGATCACTATTGAGAAGAAGGAAGGTGAGGAAGAAGGCAATACTACGTCTACTGCTGTAGGCACGACACCTACACCAGATGAAATTCATCATGAGGACGAAGTAGAAGACATGTCTGAAAACGAGAGTGAAGGCACTCAGCCAGAAGAGGTATATTTAAAAAATTTTATTTGATCTTAAATTAATTTGGAGATTTATTTGATACTTAAAAAAAATTCTTATTTAGGAGGAGGATAAGAATTTATCTGGAGAAGAATTGGGTAAGAAATTGGATAAACTATTGAAGCAATCAGAGGAGCAACTGCAAAAGTTGAACAGCTCTTCGAAGCAACTCCGTGCGCACATATTCGGCCAAGACAGGTATTGGAGGAGATATTGGGAATTAGCATGCGCCGGCGGCATTTTCGTGGAAGCTATGGAGAGCGCTGAACCGGAAATTCTCGATCTCCAAGCCGAGCTTGATGAGAAGTACAAAAATAGACCGATAGAGGAGAAATCCGAAGTGAAGCAAGAGGGCGAAAGCAAGAATTCCGAAAATCGCGAAAATGAGGCGCCAAACGAAGTCAAGGCTGAAAAGAAACATAATTCGAGTGAGCAGAACGAGAATATGAAATCTCACGGGGATAAAATGAAGTCCGAGGTGGAAGAGATCAACTGTAAAAAGGAGTCTGTACAAAATTACGGCTCGGAGAATGTAAAGGAGGAGAAGAGGAATAATGATGTAGATGGTACAATGACAGATGCGAAGACGAATGTCACGTCCGAGGAAATAAAACAGGAGACGGAAGTGATCAATACAGATGTCGACATGAAAGAAGAGGTGAAAAAGGAGAATGAAGAGATGGACGAAGATATGACGAAACCTCTGATGAAAACGATGGAGGATAAAATTGTCGAAACGATACCGAATGGGGACAAGTTCAACCACATCAATAATCTACACAACGGGAAAGAACTCAACGGCTCTTTTATTTCCAGTGAGTTTCTATAAATCTTTACTTAGAACAGACTCTTCAATATTTTTAATTAATTAGTTATGTCGATTATTTCAGACAATAGCAATGCCGAACCTAATTGGTTTTCCATCTTACCGCGTGAGACATGCGATACTCCGGGACCTAGCACTAAACAAATCTTTGGCATAGCCGAGCCGACTGAGCTCAGAATCCCAGTGTTCCCACCACCCGCCAGTCCGAGTTATGATAGATGCGATAGTCCGGCACCCCTGATATTAACTCAAGATGAGGCAGCACAACTAGAATATCTGAAAGTGCACGGTTTACCACCTCCTGGAGAGGCCAAACCGGTGTCAAAAGGTAAATTGAATTAATTTGTGAATATTAAAGATATGCCTACACGGATAATTGTATTTTCCAAGTTTGTAATTATACACATATTGTATATATGTATTGTAATTTTATATAGATCTGAGATATGGTTGGTGGAGGATAACAGATGTTGACACGTTCCAAGAACTTCTGGAGCATCTACACTCTCGTGGTGTTCGCGAGAAAGAATTAAAACGCACCACATGGGCGACGATGGAATCCTTCTTAGCTGTTACCGGTAAAATTAATGTTGATTCTGGTAATTTCTCCGCCACTGAACTTCAAGCGGAACCAGACGATCCCAATACGCCAATTCCAAAGCCCGATAATCCGAATAATTGGAGCGAGCAAGTTGCGCTACGAGTAGATGCTCAACTTTTGGAGCAAGTGGAGGCACTTGAAGATAAAGTGGCTAATGCTAGCATGCAAGTCAAAGGTTGGAAGCTACCGCCGCGAGCGGGAACTGAGGAAGCCGAGGAAATTGAGAAGTTGAATGAAATGGAAAAGATTAGTGCGGTCGAACAAGCGCGGCAAAGGTTACTTTCTTTGGAGGCAGCTATAGAAAGAAGATACTTAAAACCACCTTTAGGTGTTTGGTAAGATATTTTATTTTTATTATATATAATAATTATGTCTCGTAATGCTATTCGATAGTAAAAGGCAAAATTATAATTCTGTATTTCGCAAGAAAATTATATAAAGTATAAATAATATATTCTTTTTAAATAAAATTTAATTAATTACTGCCTTCTATTATCATTGTTAAAGCATTCAATTAATATTTAAATTAAATTTATTGAGAGCAGAATGTCTACAATTTAATTATATTTTAATTTTGTGTTGGTGTAATTTTATAGTACGGGAGATCCTAACTTGGCAGCCCTCAAGGCAGAACAAGCAGCAGCCGCTAACGCAAATTCGAACAATTCCGATCAGAATAACCAGACACCTGCACCGCCAGAGGAAACGACGCCACGGGGTTTGAACACCTGGCGGGAGGCGACGGCACGAGCGCACACGTCGGCGCAACTCGCAATGGCACTCTACATGCTCGAGGCCAGCATCGCTTGGGACAAGAGCATCATGAAGGCTGTGAGTCTAACAACAGCTAGAAACTCGGTCTGCGCCAAGCTACGAAACCGCTGCGTCTCACTCAAAGCTACCAATCAGTACAAACAGCTATTGACTACTTCTCAGACCTCTGTGGGTATTCGCACTAACTTACTAACCAAATCGTCCTTTGGTACCTCTGCTCCCGATACCTTTGTCCCTTTCGTTGAATGGCTTACAGAGAACGTCGCCTCGAATGGATATCGACAGGTGTCTACTCGATCCGATGACCGGAGCCTTAACGATCGTTTTCTCACAGGACAGTATTTTTACAATACTTAACGTCCGTTTCCAATCTCATTCCAAAATTCTATATATCACATGTGCGAACAATGTGGCAATGAAATTTGCATACATCCGTTGGATTTCGCTCTGTTCGCGCGATACCTAAACACATTTGTTCCATTTGTGTTTACATATGTAGATGCATTAGATATATCATAAATAAACACGCGTCCATCAATGAGTCATGAATTATCGAATATTGGAACACATAATATCATCTGTATACATAAATCATAACAAAAGTATACGTTAAGAATGTACATTCAATGGTGGTCAGAGTCTAACGTAACGGTTGCATGCAAAACTGCCGCTTACTATTTGTTTGTTTTTTGTTTAATAAACGATTTATTTTTTAACTTTTACGTTCGCATAGCTCTAGTTCGCTTTTTCACATTTTAGTGCATTCAGAAAAATTTCATTGTCGTCATTATGATTAATTTACTGTATTGCTAACGTTTGTATTATTGCATGCATTTAAAAGTTTTATTTATTATAATATAAATGCATATAGCATAGATATTTTATTTATTTTATATGTGATAACCAAAAATATCTTGTCTCGTTACTTTATGAATATTTATTTAGATTAAATTTATACTGAATTATTTTGAATTAATTTATTATATAGTACATAGATCTTATTTAGCTTATAATTGGCTTCTATTTTTGCACAATTTTTAATTGTGTTTTTGCGCTTTATTAATTGAATACATATATTGTCTGTACTTATCTAGAGCTTTGTTATTGCTTAAAAAGTTTTTTTTAATGCTCAACTAACAAACTGCTATAATTTCCGTGCTATTTTAGACATCAATGATTAACTCTTCCGTTTACTTTTAAATGAGAAGTTCATTTACGTTGATTGCAGAATTGCCAGTTTTGTCATAGTGGAGACAACGAAGATAAACTGCTTCTTTGTGATGGCTGTGACCGTGGCTACCATACTTACTGTTTCCGTCCAAAAATGGAAAACATTCCTGATGGTGACTGGTGAGTAACGCTCATACGTTGTCTTGCCTGGTTCTATTTGAAGTTTTACAAAGAGTTTCAAAAGTATTCCTTGTTATTTCCAGGTATTGTCATGAATGTATGAACAAAGCAACAGGTGAACGCAATTGTTTAGTGTGTGGAAAGAGAGTTGGTAAAAACCTGGTTCTGTGCGAACTCTGTCCTAGGGCTTATCACACTGACTGCCATAATCCTGTCATGCCAAAAGTAAGTAATTATCAAAATACGTCTCTGTAAATACGAAGATCTCGTTATTTAACTAAATCAAACGCGTGCTACAAGTATAAATTTTATACATAATACATTTTGTTTACAGATGCCACGAGGAAAATGGTATTGCTCTAATTGCCACAGTAAACAACCAAAGAAGAGAAATAGTAGTCGAAGGAGTCATACCAAAGGGGGAGGCACCAGAGAAAGTGAAAGTTCTGATCATCCACCAGCTAGGTGATTACGTTAAAAACAAACAAACATTGTCAAGTTGCTGACTTAATGACGTTTCATGCGAAGTATATTAGAACAGCTATAAAATAAACGATTTGATAATATTCATCGCACCCGCAAATGGCGGACAAGTATTATTCCCGATTGAATAAAGTAATCTCAATACGAATCTAATTCTGTATACGAAAACTATCTGTATACACTGTACTCATGCGTTTACCTACTTAATCCTCGGCCCGTGTCGTAATACCGCCGAGAATTTTTGTCGTCTCGAAGAATTTTTCTTTTCATGCAGGGTGTTCTATGAGAAGCTAAATTCGATTTTATATTCTTTGAAGGTGATTGTAACTAATAGATTCTCCCGAGTGATTTTCGTTTCTTCAGTGTCTTGTCTCAAGTTTCTACGGGACACCCTGTACATTCATGATACATCGTTGTTGCCTAGTGTATTTGCGATCGCCGACTGTGAAATAGATATTTTCTCAGAAATATTCATCGTAACAGTAGAGCCGCCTTCAGGTCGTGTATGATGAGTCGGAAATAAAAACGAGAGAGCGCAAGAGGGCGAAAAATAGAACGGAAAAAAAATAATAGAACGAAGTAGAGAACGAACGAGAGACAGAGAGTCAGAGAGAAACGCAAATAATTCATCGGGAGCAGCGTACCCGTCTCAGCCGGACACACGATCGAATCTTATGCAATTCGTCCTTGCGCATTCGTCCAGAGGCTTTTATGACGGGAAACCTCCTGCAGAACGGAAGCTAATCGTGCAAATAATTTCTCTGTTGTTTTGCGCCGCAGTCCAACGCCATCAACGGCATCGAACACGCACGTAGAGGATGTCAGTTCGTCGGAACCGCCGACTCCTACCGCCTCACCACGGAAGGAGGGTAACAATCGGACGCTCACGAAGAAGCAACAACGAGAGCTGGCGCCTTGTAAGATACTCCTCGAACAGTTGGAACAACAGGACGAGGCCTGGCCGTTCCTCCTGCCGGTGAACACCAAACAGTTCCCGACCTACAAGAAAATCATAAAAACCCCCATGGATCTCAGTACGATTAAGAAGAAGTTGCAGGACTCCGCGTAAGTTGTCCAATACGCGCCAGCGATTAGTTAAGTGAACGTACTATCTTTAGCTGCCTTTCCTCTCAAAAACTCTTGGTCTTTAAAACAGGCCTAATAGATCTAACATACACACACATATAGACTGATCGCAAAAAAAAAAAAAAAAAAAAAAAAAACCTATTGACCGATCGTCAACCTTGGTCGGCATTGGAAGGCTGAAGTTTTTCACAACGAGTGCTTCTCGATGCAGGTACAAGTCTCGCGATGAGTTTTGCGCCGATGTCAGGCAGATGTTCATCAACTGCGAGGTATTCAACGAGGATGACAGTCCTGTGGGCAAGGCCGGCCACGGGATGCGCAGTTTCTTCGAAATGCGCTGGACCGAGATCACCGGCGTGCCGCCTCCACATCCACAAACGCATAGCTGAGGTTCGGTACGTTCGCGCAACACCTGCAACAGCTTCGCTCACTTCTACTATTAGGATATGCGTCGCGTCACCGATCGCGATAGACCGACAGTCGTCGGAAGGGATTGATCCACCCTCTACTACTTCACTTCCAAGCATTAGTCGGCCTCGTTCTAGCGGCCAATCGAATTTTCCATTATAATAGTAATTGCTGTGAACGCGGGTACACACTCGCCTATCGTATCATCCATTCTCGCTGTTCATCACTTACGCGAGTGCGTTTTTCTCGCGTTTCATAAAATGCTCTAGTACTTGGGTATACTGTGACACGAATGACTCGTACTTCATTTCCTTGTTAGCACCTATGACGCGATTTTCGTCAAACTTACTCATTGTAAAGTATTATAGCGAGACACGTTCTAAGCCGATCGGACATTCGGCTTCGGTTTAATGAATATTGATAAAAGTGCGAGAAGTATCGCACTTAAGGTCGAGATCTTGGTCTGCGATAACAAGCACTTCTCGACATCGACGTGATTATTCAGATAGAAGCTTGCGCGCATCGTTTCGATCTTCGTCGATTAGGACGGAGCGATGCGAATGGTCATTGTACTTACACAAGTGAACATTTGCCTAAGCGACAAAAGTGTAATTTGCGATTGTATTATACGGGCTTAATGTCGACGTATCGTCGGCAAAAGAAATATTTTGCAAAGTAATAAATGTGAAAAAGAGAGAAGTTATATATGTATATAAATATGAATATATAAATATGAATATGAATATAGTGTATATGTATACAGAATCTATATACATATATTGTACACATGTCACAACATACATACATGCAAGCGTACATTTGCCCACGGATGAGCACGATAAGGGTATTATTCGCTGTAGAAGTAGAATAGACAAAACGATGAACGAAGTTAATGTTGGAATTTGTAATATGACAGTCTAGATAGTCAGAATACAATTATGATTAATTTATAATAATTATGACTATATGATATATGATAAATATTATAAATCATAATAATTATTAAAAAAAATTTCTTTATTCGTTCTCTTTACAAATTAAGATGATAGAGCAGCACTTATGAGGAGAATAAAATGCTTTTTTTGTAATTTGCAAGTAAGACTTATTTCCGGCTATCTGGATCATCCTATTACAAATTGAAGAAAAGATCTTAACACCGTTTCGCAAAACCAATTTAATTTCTTACGTTCTTTGCATTTAGTTCCGGGTTTTGTTAACTTGTGAATTGTATAATGAAAGACGCATGATGTATGCAGAACGAAACTATACTTCATAATATAACGAAGAGAGATAAAATATTCATATTTTCACACATCAGTATTCTAAGACAAAGATATATGTCTTTACTGTGACTGTGTTGTATTGATTCGAAGATATTAAAAATCTGTCAAATTAATAAATATAGGATCTACTATTGTAACTGCTGTTACTTTTGTAAAAGAAGAACGTTAGGCGGTTATTATAACGTAGTCAGTGATTATTCTCTACTAATTAATTAACTACATGTCTTGCGTATCCTATGTACGAACGATACGTTGAGAACTTTGCTCGTAGAAAAAAAAATGTGAAGTTTTTCTAGAATACTCCGTCTGTTTAATTTTATGCAACGTGTAATGTCGTTTGAAATAGCATACGTTGCATGTGTAAATCCAAAATCTTCCACTGCCGTTAGAGAGATTCGCATTGCGTTAAGCTCATCAACCTAATATTTATTATTTAGAGATTATTTTATTTTGCACGCGGAAATGTCGTTTGTTATCCGCAAAAGTGGCAGCATCCATCTAGCTTCCTATTTTTCGTTCATCGAGAGTGTCATAAAAGTTCCGAATCAACGCAACATATACACAACAAAATTAGATGTTCAGAAACATCACCATCATCTATTAAGCTAATTAGGACGAAAATACGATCAGCATAAAGATTATTCAAATGCAATAAGAATACATTGCATAGCGAGCGCCTTTGAGGGGGAACGAATTCTTTTTCAGAAGTAACGCAATTGTGTTTTTGTTGTAATTGAAAAACTAGGTTTTCGTAATTACACCGCGCGCGCGCGCGTAGTATTATTATTATTATAATGTTAAGTATCATATTGCAATTTTATCCGCGTCGAGCTCGACGACGCGATATGACTCGCGTCGGTTTTCTTCCATCAGCGCAGAGTTTTCTAAGGACGATAATCGACGCTCGGTCGATCGTCGAAAGATCTTTCGAACGAAGTAACGTCGCAATGTCGCCGTAGAATAAAACGTGAAGGGATATACATCGCTCTGTGAACGTTAGATTGTCAAACGGCGATGAGTTTCTCCGATTAATAAATGTGGTCTATTTGTGAGTACAACCATCTTACGCGAGACGGTGTCGAACAATGTAACAAGAACACATTAACACTTGTATCTTGTTTTGTAATTGATGTACATTATTGCTCGTAATAGTAAAATAGTTGGTAATAGTGAGAGAAACCCGGAGGAGAGGGAGTTCAACCGTAGTGTGACGTGCTAAATGATTACGGTTTAAGGAAAAAGGAAAAAAACATTCGTAGCGTGTAAAAGTATTAGGTAAAGTATAAATGCCAGCGGAGGAACGACTACGAAGTAAAAAGTAATTAATATCGTTCGGAGTGTGATTGAAACAGAGCGTTGAACATCGTAATTTAAGAACGAACATCCGGTAAGATCGCTGACGAGATTGCGCGATGATTGTGAATTTCGTGGCATTTCAATACATCAAATGCCAATAAGACAGTAATTTGTTAATTCATAAGGATTTGCTGAAGAAAATAAAAAAATTTAAAAGATTTTTTTTTAATATGAAATACTATGATTTTAAGAAATTACAAATTTAATTATTAGCCATCATCTATATTGACGTTCGTACAGCATTCAAATTTGGAAACACTCGGCATATTAAGAACAATTTTAGTGTTTCTTTTTTTTGTTTGTCTCCGCTTTGTTCTTAGCTGCGTGTAACTTTAACTCTTTCAACAAAAAAAGAATCGTTAGATTTTGCAATATACGACGACTGTGAAATCGACTCATGTATGTACAAGTTTATTGAATAAACAAAGCGCAGATTGTGGGGCATTTTGTCGATCTTACCGATTGTTCTTCAAGAGGCACCGGCCGTGTCACTAGGAGCACTGCGCCTCGCACTGTCATACAATAACCGATATGTTTAAACATCTCGTACATTCAGACAACAAAACCGACAACACAACAGAAACAAATAATTTTTTAAAATTTAATTATTATTTAAATAGTACAGTTACATTGTTAGTACGAATAACGACGCTTTTTATACGAATTTTAGTTTTTAAACGTCGATCTTACGATATATATATATAGTATAAATAAATAAATATATATATATATATAGTATAAATAAATAAATATATATATATATATAGTATAAATAAATAAATATATATATATATATAGTATATAAAAATGAGAGAAAATGGAAAAAGTAATAATAATTGATATCGATAAACGGAGCGGATAAAGAGAAACGAAGGAATTGTATGGAAGGAGAGTGAGCATAAGAATAAAAGGAATAGAGAGAAAGATAAATGAGAATGCATGTGTGTGTGTATGAAAATAAAAAAGAAAGAGCGAGATGTTTAAGTTAGGTGATTGTTTGTCTATCGTATACACGAAGGCATACGTTAGGTAGCCTCGATGCTATTTAAACAGACTTAATTAATGTATTGCAAATGAATTAATAAAGTGTAAGCGAAGCGTGTATCTATATAGTGCGACTTTTTCTTTTGGCAACTTCAATAAAATTCTTGATGAACAGTGAAGACCTCTTGACATATAAAAATTAAAATATACAAAAATAGACTGAACCTTTCCCCTTAAAAAAAAGTATTGTTGTAACGCTTCTGCAAACCTTACGGATGTATTCCTATATCGATTCCACCTGAATATCGATGGAAATTTTATTAAACTTTTTAAATTTACGTCTTTGAATATTTTAGTTATTTGTAAATTAAAATTAGTCGAGGAAAAATTGACATAGTTCTCTAAAAATGATATGTTAAATTACTTTGATATTAATTTCTAATTTTTTTAGATTTACTTGATTCTTAATAGATTACTATTATATCAATAAATATGTCAATTCAACAGATACTAATGAGTAACAATTAATATTATCATATATAGGATGTTTACAACCTGAAGAAAACTTGGAAAATGGAATTTTTTAAGGTATTTCACTTTTAATAATAATAAATGTAAAGACATTTTTTTAATATTAATTCTATATTTCTGAAAATACCGTCTCTGGTTATTTTTTTTCTTGATAATGCAGAATGTTGATAATTGATTATAGTGCAATGAGTGTAATATATACATTCGCAGAAATTTTAATTCGCCGCCGCGGCGCGGCGGCGCAAGCGCGATGCCGATCAGTCGATCATGATGCTGATTACACAAGCTAACTTCAGAGTGAATTATGCGACGATAAACACGAACAAACCGAGCGAACGGCCAAATCGGCGACGAGGACTAGACGCTCGACTTCGTCCGCGACAGTTGAGTTAACGTGTACAGGTGTACGCAAGTAACGAGATATCCGATCGCCGCATGGCTCGTGCCGGCGAGAGGGGATCGGTTACGCACCCGTTAATCAATTGCCCCGCGGAGCGGCTCGTCATTCGCGACGACTCGGTATTGCCCACGTGAACATCTCGCTCATCATGCGATGACGGTTTTTAACTACCTTTGTGGAACTACCAGTGAGTATGATAATTCGCAGATCACGTGTGCCGATCAAGTGTCCGCCAAATGGTTCCTCGTACAATTTTATCGTATCCCGTATCGTTTGTCGCAATTATACATTGAGATAGCCACGATTATCGAAGAAGAATAGAGATTGGAAAGTTCGTGGACAAGTATCTTACAATTAGATCGAGTTTTTTCTGCTGAACTTTTTACTACTTTGTCCCCTTTTTGCTAGCAGCAAAAATTGAAATGTATACAAACTTAAAATGTACTATCTCGTTTCAAGTGCGGAAAGTACAGCCTAATGTCAGCGTTTGTTTTGTACTTTCTATTTCGTAACAAGTGTCTTTCTATCTTTGTTACTCACTGAATATCACAAAAGATAGGATGATGTTTATGTCGACCTGTGTCACTAAATGGAAAGCACTCGATTTTTGCACACTCATTCTCTCATGAGATACTACGATAATAATATCGACATACATAACCTTTTCGAAAAAAGAATGACTGTTTATAAAGAATATTTAGTACTTGTGTCCTAAACATTTAAATGCTATTTATTGTAACACATATAAGGGAAGAAAGAGTACATTCTTATAATATTTTAATGATAGTCCTGGATTCTTGTAATTAAAAGTCTGTTCATTTTGCTTGAAATTCCCAAAAATGTTTATACAAATTGAGATAAATTATATATTCAGACGTTGAAAAGAAAGAACGCAAAAATGCTGAATGCAAAAAAGTAAGCAACGCAAACAAACCTATTGTTTTTATCACATGATTAAGCAATCCGTATTTTGATATCAGGTCAAAGGCAATTGTAGAAACACTATCATATCATATGTGTACTTAAAAAAAATGTTCATTTTGAAATATCTATATTTTTGAAAACATGTTTTAATATTTTAATATTTTGTCTTACGTTTTTATATATTTGTAAAATAAAACAGAAATAGTTATACAAATTAATTATAAATTATAAATTT